TTGTCCTATGGCTTTCCGTACCCACAATCCGCTCACCACCCATTAAGTTGCATATGCGCGCCATAAGTAAAAAATTCTCATGACAAATGAATAAAAAACAAAAGTGAAGTAAAGCAGCTAAACATTCCACACGCAAAATTTTGTGGTCGTCGTTGTAATTGAAGTTGTAAAGTTGTTCTTTGCAGTCAAGGATTTCCAGTGGAGAAAAAATGCGACCGCTAAAAAATTAGTAAAACAGACAAAAAGGAAATACAAAATTTAACACTTCGCTTTAGACGGCATAACGCACATATCAACTTAAGGAATTATGATTAAATCGGCAAAGACAAACTTAAAGATAAACTGCAGATCTGACTAATAGTCTAAGCGGCAGAAATGAATGGAAAAAACGATAAAAACAACAACTGCCACAGACCTAAAAAAAGTAAATTACAACCAGAAGCAGCTTATATTGCAATGAAAATCTTACTCACATCCGTCCAATGTACATATGATGTCAATCCAACGTTACAGCACACAGACAGACCGTACCAGTCGAGACCGATAGACAAAAGCAATAACAATGCAACACCAGGGCTCGGTCATGGACAGGCTTCTTTTATGACGGATTATGAATACGGAGGGACTGGTTGCCACAAGAATGCACTTTTTTTTAACGTTTTTAAAGAAAGTGAAAACTCCAAGTTCACACTGAATTCTCTGTGTGCCTTAATCAACTTTTCCACATATTTTATCTTGTAATTTTTGTAAAAACAACAGGGCAAGAAATAAAAATATGTTTTTCAAAGGAAATAGAAAGTGGCAATTATAATTTTTTAGTTTTATGTTTAGTTTTATTAATTATTTATGTATGTAATAAAACAGTTGATATATGTTAGTACATAAAAACTGTGAGAAAAATATAGTTCCTCTGCAAATTTATTTAGTTCATTTGCGAATGTTTGTTTTTTATTTTGCATACATACTGTAGTTAAACATATATTTTAAATAAAAAATATTTTTGATTGTTCCTGTTGTTCTATCAACACATAATATTCTTTCTGTTTTTGAATATGCTGGAAAAATCAAAGTTTCTGATAATAATTTGTGTTAAGGAACTTTGTACATTTATCGGAATAATATAGCCAATTCATAAATGTAAAAAAATAGATTGTGAATGGTAAAAATTACACAAAGCTTTTTAGATTAACCGAGAGATCATTGAAAAGTTCTTTCATTCTGGACAACTTTCGAAGTCTAATCGATAAAATATGGTCCGCGATTTTAAAATATCCCTCTATTTAGTATATCATCTATATTTCTACCTAGAACATAGAACCAATCAACCAACCAATGCAAAAACAGGATGATTACTGTATGTTGTTAAATAATCGTACATATAATGTATATAATTGATTATATATGGTATACATATTGTGCTTACTTACATAATTATATTATGTTTAATATATAATACAATATAATATAGGTGAGATAGTTTGATATTGATAGCGGAGCAAGGTTTGCAACTTCATCATGAATCGTTTAACGCTAGAACAACGCTTCCAAATTGTGGAAATTTACTTTGGAAAAAATAAATTTTTTCGCGCAGTTTATATCGAAGAATTGTGTTTAGTGATGAAATTCATTTCTGGTTAAATGACTACGTCAATAAGCAAAATTGGCATATTTAGAGCAAAGATAATCCTCAAGCCGTTAACGAATCACTTAATATCTATTAAAATTGACTGTTTGGTGCGTTTTACACGCTGGCGGCATCACCGGTCCTTACTTCTTTCGAAATGAGGAAGAAGCTGCTGTTAGGGTGAATAGCGAGCGATAATAAGCCATGTTGACTGACTTTGTGTTTCCAAAACTTTGTCGTTTCTAAGATGGCGCAACTTACCATACAGCGCGGTTAGAATTATTGCAAAATCAATTTGGTAACAACTTTATTTTCAAAAGTGTGAGATTTAACGCCTCTCGAATATTTTTTATGGGCTTATGTTAAGTCATTAGTTTATGCCGACAAATCAGCAGCTCGTGAAACATTAGAAGCTAATGTTCATGCCACCATTGACGCCATACGGTCACATTTATTGTAAAAAATAATCAAAAACTGGACTGATCGAATGGGCCATGTAGGACCTCGTAGCCGAGGCGGACATATGCGGGAAGTCATGTTCAAAAAATAAATGCCATGAAATTATCTACATATAACATATCTATCTATATATAACATATCTATCTATATTTCTGTCTTGTATAATTATTTTAAGTTCTCACGCAGCTTAAAAAAGACATCCTTTCTCTTAGATATAAATACACATACCAATAATCAATATCAAGAGATCTAGAAGATTTTATTTTGATTTAAGCTCTTATCAGCAATCTTAACAAATATTATATAAATTGTATTAGAAAAAAATTAACCAAGGCTTCCATAGTATGTACAAACCTATAAGCGTAGGTTTGTGATCCTATATTCAATCGTATAGTTATATTCTCAAATTACCCTCGAACTTTTATAGGTTATTTCGAAAATAGTTACATTAATAAAGTTTTACAAGGCCATAAATTCAAACTGCAGAGTGTGTTATTTTGAGTAGCAGTTAGTTGCTCAACTGATGGCGACATCAAGGTGTTGACAAATGAAAACAAATACTTCATAGGTATCTATGAATTGAACATACAGTCTTATCATGATTGACTTATGTGTGTTATCACGAACTCTGAGCTCATAGCTATAAATGCATTATACTAGACTGCACTTCACATATATATACATATATTTCAGTTACGGTAAGGGTGGCACCAAAAGTGGGCTATGTTTTCATGTGTTTTCTTTTTGTAATATTCAATGTCAGTAGGTATTTATGCCAATACAGAATCTACTGTTTATGCACAATGTTGTTAACAAATTTTTAACTTCAAAGTTTACATGATTTGTGCACTGTTCGACCTACTTTTTGTCGTGGCAGTGCAAATTTAGCCTTTAAGTGGTAGATAGCTTAACTAATGTGCTATATTCATGCTATTGCACATAGGTTTCTTAACATTTTTCCTCTACCTCATTACTTTGAATAAGACAATTTCATAATCACATTATACTTTTCAATAAGTAATTTTCTTAAAACTCATGTAATTTGGGTATAGGATTTTAATCTTGCTAAAAACTGATTATATAAAGTCTAAAAGTATTATATTAGTTGTATTGTTGTATTGTTGATATGCAATTCCCTGATTAAAAATTCGCTGATAGAACACGACAGTATTAGTATTCATTTCTTTGCAAAAACGAATGTAACTATTATATTTTAATTTTATTTTATAAATATTTCGGTTCCGGGCGATAACAATTAGTAATATGTATATGAAAATTTTATATTTAAAAATTTACTTACGAACCTATGGAAAGAAACGTTTGCTATAAATTACATTTTTGTAATTAAAATTGTATATTTCCTTTTTTTTCGAGCAAATTAAATTATACGAGTACATTAATAAAAATTATCGCATTAAGTGTGTCACATATGCGGTATGTCGCCAGAGCAAAATTATAATCAAGCTCGGAAACTCCCACAATTTATACCTGAAAATGTACTCGTATACTCGCAGTGGTGCAGTGGTGCAGTGGTGCAGCGCTGCAGTGCGTGGAAAGTTTCAAAGAAAATATGTCGGTAGTTTGTTGTGACTGAGCCGATATTGGTATAGTTTCTTATCACCAAACACCTTACTTGCTAAATGTATGTTTTAATTGTAAATTTTACATTAATAAATTGATGGCATTTTGCGTGACGTTATGTTTGCGTATCTGGAAGAAGCATAGCTTCGGTTCTGTTTATTCTAATTTACATTGCAATGCTTATATTCGTGCGAATGCAATTAGAAAAGCAGTAGAATCGGCGCACAACTTAACTTGGCTAATGATGATAATGATGTAGTAGCCAGAGTATGCAGTTTGCATTTCTGCATGGTATGACGGAATATTTTACATTTTGTAACTGTTTAACTTTTTGTCTACCAATTAGCGTCATATATTCTATCGGAATGTGGTAAAGGAATGAGATATTTAGAAAAAAAAACTGTTGATTTTAAGAATTTAAAATGATAAAATTTGTATTGTTAAATCGCTTTTAATCGTTTTTTTTTTTTCAAATAATTGCTTAGTAATGTTTATAATCACAATATATATTGATTTCACGTTTCTACATTTGATATTATATAGCTGAAGTTAGGTTAAGATGGCGCGTGTTAACACTCTTACTCGGAGATGTTATGATATGCTTTAAGTAGTCAGGGAGAGACGACCTACACCAACCATGTGTTTAATATAGCTTCTTGTGTTAGTTTTTTAAAATCGTTTGGTCAATAGTCGGTATCTGTGCCGGACCACTGTGCCGGAACGGTCGTCGTAATTATAAAAAGGTAGATGTTCTTATATTATATATAGTAGAAACAATACGTGCAGCAATTTGTATTCTAACTTAAATAAAGGTGATTTTTTAAATTGAGTTATTAGCGAAACGTGGTAGCCACTTAACCACAATCGTAAATCATTTAAGATTTAAATCATACATAAATAACTGATATATACCTATCTAATTGAGTATATGAGATTTGAAGGAAATATTTGAACTAAAATGTTTATATAAAATTATTTAATTATTGCAGAAGTTTCAGTTAGAAATATTTAAAATACGAATAACTGCCGTATTTAGGATACAAGTTTTTATAGAAAATTTGACGAAATTAGCATTCCATTACTAAAAATTGTATTCAACTATAACTGCACAAATTTTTCATCATATAGGTAGTCATATTTTTGTTGTATATTATCTATCAAAACGTTTACTACCGAAAAAGCAAATTATATTATATTCTTGACTGACATCAATTCAACTTAAACATCAATTTTTAAATAAAATTTAACTTTCTAAGATCGACCTCTGTAGTAGTTTTCAATATTAAAATTTTTTAAGTTTTAAACTATTAAACTTTTGTTTTTATTTTATTTTCAGAAATGGGAACTTTTTGTCTTGAGCCGATTAGGCTGGGATTTGTCGTCAGTGACGCCATTAGACTTTTTGGAATTATTGTTAATACGCCTGCCCATTCGTAATACTGAATTTCCAGACATAGATGTGGATAAAGTGAGACAGCATGCCCAAGCATTTATATCACTAGCTGCCAAAGGTATGTTCTTAGTTAAAAAAATAATTTTTGACAAACATATATCAAATGTGTATTAATATAACAAATATTCTAAATTAAATAATGTCATGCAGGTAAATCTTAAGTAAAAGTTTGCACATTTAATTACACAAGTCCTAAGGTATCTAGATTTATTACTTGATCTAAATATATAGTAAAGAACTGCAAACAATACATTCACATAAATGAATAATTTGGTTTAGTTATATTTTGTCACCTTTTTAAATAAAAACGGATATTGACATACATATATAAAAGAAAACGACTACTGACCATTGTAAAGATTTTAATGTGTTACTATAAGATTTAAGATTGGCACACAACAGTACAATATATGTAGGTTTGGAATGCGTTAATATTTTCTGCAAATCGCTGTATTAAATCGAAGCGTAAATGCTGTAATGAATATGCGTTTGTGTATTTTTGATATATATTTTTATTTATTTTTGATATATATTTTTATTTATTTTTGTCCTAAAGTTTTAATTATAAAATCCTGTTTTGATTTTAATACTCGATAGTGCGGCTCCTAATGACTAAGGCCGTAGACAAAGTATTCTGTAAAATTCTTTTAAAGTATTAGCTGTGTAATTTTTATTAAGTATAAATATTATTTATATAAAATTGCAATTTCTCAATAAAACTATAATATTAGCTAGATCTGTGCTTAATCATGCAAATAGTTGCAGGATATCTTAAACTATACAAAAAGTTTTGGTGTAATTAAACAAATCAAATCACATAAAAGAAATGGTTATAATTTACGATACTAAATAATAAATAATATTATTCAGATATTATTTAGTGTGGGTGTTTTTAAATGGTCATCAATTATTTTATTTGGGACAAGATCATGTTTCATTTCATCATATACATAACATGTATATATATATATATTTTAGTAGTTTATTGATTAATAAATATAGAATAATTTCGAAGTCTTTAATTTGCAAAATATTATTGATTAACTAAGAAGTATTTCTGCAACATTGGAGTTTATCGATAGTAAAAAATGCTGCACATTTTTTATATAAATTTAATTTTTTAGTCCATTGTTACGCTATCCGATAAAATAAACCTGTATCCGTAAATGTATGAACATTTTTCAAAACATGTTACCTGAGAAGTGTGTGAGGTGGATTTAGTTAGTTAAAAAAACGTTTTTTTTTTGTTTCTTATGTTAGTGCTGTGTTTATAAATTAACAATTTTAATTTCTTAATCAATGTTATCTTTGAGAAATAAATTTGAATAAGGATAAGCCAAATTGTCTTTATCAAAATTAACAATAACAAAGAGTATACCCATATGTAGCTCCTCTCGCCACCTTCGGCGTTACTTCTCCAGTGTGTAATTTGCATAAAGTAGTCATTTAATAATTTTGACTAAAAACTAAAAAAAAATATGTTCGAGACGACGAAACCTTTTAAGGAAGGGTGTGTAAAATCCAGTTTATAAAGGAAATCTCTACAGAGTTTCGCATTTGCTGAACACTTATTTTTTGTACAAAATTCTTCTTTCAACTACAAAGTTTCTCGTAAAAATGTAAAGTAAGTATTGCGACCACCTATCCTTAAACTCAGAAAGTGTTACTGATTGGGGTATCTTTATTTTTGTATTTTTATTTTTATATTCCTGCGACGGTTATGTAGTCTTTTGATGAGGTAGCGTTGCACAAAGTATTAAAAAGATATAAGATACGACCAGACTTAAAAGAATTTTTGATAATTGGCTTATATTTAATGCTTTTCTCCTTACTCTACCTGCAGTACCACGACTTTGAATGTGATTTCATTAACTTGGCTAAAATCAGCACACATCGGCGAATAAAATCAAAGAAAATGTTGTTGACAATGTGAACAAAAGTAGTTCTTCGTTTAAGTGGATCGTTGAAAATTTTTTTGTCGTCGTTCACAATTTAAAATGATTTTGCTGTTATTAACTACAAACTAGAAATTAATTATGTACTTTAAAGTAAAAAGCAAAAAAAAAAAAAACTAAGTAACGTTCCTTTTTAGGAAAGGCAAAGGAATGAGGAGATTTTTTTTAAAATTCTCATTGGTTTTAATATGACAAAATTATTGAGAGTTTATTTATTATAAAGCAATCCAATTAAACCTATCTCTGTTTAAAATTAATTAAATATTATATACATGTTTATATATGAATTGTAGATGAACTTAAACATAAAAATAATGCATACGATTGGAATTCGTGTTTACAAAAAAAAATTTACCTCATTGGATTAGTCATTAAAATTTAATAAATTTTTTCAGTTTTCGCTTAAGAGATTTCTTTGTAAAATTGTACAAATAAAATCAATTTGAATCGCTTTTTCAGTGGGAGTTCGTTTATTGCACTCACACATATTTATTGATAAATAATAAGTATATTTTCAATGAATTTTGGTTTGTATGTTAGTACTGGTTGTACTGTTAGAATAGTGCTGCAAAATAAGCTGGTGGTTACTCAAACTATAACATATCATATTGAGACGGTCAGGGTGCCATGCCCTTCGAGTAGCTGCTACAGTTTCACACTCCTATTTCAGGCAAGCGTGACTTACGGCACAAATGTAATTTCAATAAAATTTTCGCACATACGACGAAATCTACTGATGCAGCCGACCCCGCCTAAATCGTATTGCATCCTGTCCCTTTATAATTCTACGAAGGCAACATTGTATTTAATTTTAATGTTTCTGTTTTCACAGTTTTTGCCGCTTCATACTGTTAATCTTTAACCTATGCATCGTAATTGCATCAATAAGTCTGCTCTTAAAATATGTGTGTATAAAGAGCAGAACTAAATTCAAAGTTAATAAACCTTTCATAGTATATCATATTTTATAATTGGTAATTAAATATTTCAAAAATATATATGCGGGCGTTGCCCTTTTTCATCAGCATATCGTTTTTCAGATTTTCTAGTTTGATTTTCTAGTTATTTGCAATATATGATGAGTTTTATTGATTTAAAAATTTGCAGATTATATCGGTTGTAGTTATATATATGAAGCATGAAGTTGTTTTTAAAAATATTTTCTATTTAAATTTTAACATTTTAACATTTTAACACACTAAAATGAATCTCATTTCAAAACTAATTGATTTCTTTCACTTCTTTATTTTAGAGCATTACTTTTCAAAGTATTCTGCCAGTACCATAGCCGCGTCAAGTATTGCTGCTGCTCTAAGCGGCTTGAATTGGCATGGGCGCTCTGGTCACAATTTACGTCATTTGTTAAATCTTCTAACAGATTTAACCAGTATCGCACAGGTAAGAACTGCTTAATTTTATAACATGCAAAAGATATTGTTTTTAGAAACAGATGTTTTTTTTATCAACATTTTGTGTAAAAAGTAGCCGGAATTTATAATTTGTAAAATTTGTGTAAAATATACTGCGTTTAACAAGAATTTGTGGCTAGAAAATCAACAAATGTTCTTTCGAGGCTGCAAGAAATGCGTTCCGAGTCGATTGTGGTCATAAACGTAAATTTAAAAAAGGAGTTAAAGACTGCACCTGAAATCAGTCTACAAAAATGTATGGAGGATTCAGTGAAGCAGGTGCACTGTTTTATTGCATTCGATGAAGCTTACTCTGAAGTCAATAAAATAAAATTATATTTATGTAAAATCTATTGTATAAATTTTTTCGTATTTTTAGATTCGATTGCAAATACTTGAATTATAAATAGATATTATTAAATAATAGATTCATGATTCATTTAAATGATTACTTTCAGTTATATAACAAAAATCGTTGTTAATTAAAATAACTTATTGAAAGAATATATGTGTATACAATATATTTAAAATGTTAAAATAATTGTGGGTGGATTAAATATAGTTGTAAAAAAACGTATATTCGAATATAATTAAAAATTTAATTGTCTTATTGTATTCCACAAATTATATTCCATTGCAATATTATGAAATGATACCAATATATAATATTATAGTATTTAATAAAATTTGGATTCGGTTTTAACAAGTTCTACAGATAATTTATGCTATTATATTATATTAAAAATGATTTTTTTACTGCTAATAATTGAATTTAAATTCTATTTAATTATGTTTAATGTTTAATGCTTTAATATGTTTGATTGTTTAATTTTAGGAATGTTTACTTGATTGCATGGTTAAAATGGAAGCAATATTTGAAGAGCACAGTCGAAAACTGCAGCCTTATATGGTGACGGTAGAAGCTCAACAACATAGTCATAATATTAATGCTACTACAAATGGAAATTCAAGGCTACCTGATTTAACACAAACGTGTAAAATGCAGGCTAACGCTCAGAAGGATATGCAGGATATAAAATTCTAAGCAATCCTTGCTAATCAAACAAAACTTGTTATATATTCGAAATTTTTTAATAATATTTAAATGAATTCTATTAAACAAATATGAAAAATATAAATAATTAGAAAGAAATGAATTTATCAGATGGGAATAATAAATCAATAACTAAGGGACGAAAGATGGAAAATCTGAAAAGAAAAAACTTTAATTTTGGTGCTTAAAAAAGTTTTAAAAAATGTATTCACTATTTAATATTATAATTATTTAATATAAAATTGTATTTTTCAACCATTTGTTATGAATTTTATATTTAAAAAAATACTAAATACATTAGTAAACCACTTATAAAGAAAATAGCAAAATATTATTGAAAAAGTAACATTTTAATCAGATAAATTGAAGTAACAAAACAATATTTAAAAAAAAAACAAAAATGTAACATAAAATAAGCTAAAGCTAAAATGTAACTAAACATGTTTTTGCTGAAATACAAAAAATATTTTCCTTAATTGTTAAAAAAGAATAGACTGAAAATGAAACATTTTTTTACTGCATAAAACTATAAAAGTTAATTACCTTTGTATATAGAAAATATTTTAAAATATACTGAAGCAAAGAAATATATAAGCGATGTATATGTAAAAAATTTATATAATTTAAAAGCAAAAAAGTAACAGTTACAGATCAGGAACTCCACTAAGGAGAAACTATGAATATAATTTTACTGCAGTTCCAAATCAAAAGGATCACATTAATGTGCATATCAAAGAGTGTGTAGTTTTCTTACAAAACATTTTTTATTATAGTTTTCTTGGAATTTCTGTGTCTTGAACTGCGTTTCAATAAGGAACTTGTTATCCTCGCTTACGAAAACGAATGGAATACCTTCAAAAGTGGTATTTGTAAAAAGTAATCATATATTAATTTTAAGTTTAGTTATAATAAAAATCAAACATTGTTTCCAATGAAGTTGGTGTATACTGATATTAGATGATGCGTGTCGCATCCAATATAAAACCACTAAAGATACGTGTACCAAAAATTTTATTGGAAACGATAGTGCAAATTAAAACTCAATACAACATAAAAGATGAACACAGAAGAAAGTCAATGCAATCCTAAAAGGGGAAAGTATTTAGATACGCTTTAACACAATTAAAAAAGTTATAAAAACTGCAATGAAATGCGTGAATTTAATGGCATAACTTTTGTTTTCTGATTTATGATATAAGATGAATTTTAAAATATTTGACGCAACTTAAATTTTGTAAATTTTTATTAAATTTTCAGAAAACTTCATTGTGACATTTTTCCACAGTGATGCATTTTTCCTTACCGATTTAATGAAGCTTGCAATGAAATAACTACAAAACAATTTATAGAACAGAACAGAACATAACAGAACTGAACTAAACAAACCAAAGATAACCAATAATCGTGAAAAGAACTTGAATTCAATTTACCTCATATAAATAAATAGATTTATTTATAAAATGCAGTGCAGGTTTTCGCGTAAATAAATTCAATGTATAAGCGCAATTTTTAAAATTCATTTTATTTAAATCGAACGAACCACTACAAAATTAACAAATTCCAAATTGTATAATTGAATATCTACAAAGAAATTGTAGATGACATTTTATTCATTTAAATGGAAAAAGTAACAAAAATGCAGTCACAATCGTAAAGGCTTCAAATTAAGCGCATAGGAGTATAAACTTTCTAACCTCAACAAGCTCATGAATTATTAGTTCTTATGAAGTAGAAGTTATATTAAAAAATATGTATCTTTGTAGAATTGAACTTAAGCAACTGAAAACAAGATATTTGTAAAAAATGTATTCTGTTATATGCAAACATAATCTTAATTAATTATAAAGTGTAACATTAAGAATTTAATTATTTAATCTACATTTAAGCAATGTAAAAATATTACATAAAATTCTAAGTAAAATATCAAAGTAATCTTCACACGACTACGCTTAATAGAAATTCTTCTTCCCTTATATTTTTTTATTTGAAAATATTTTATGAATTTTGTTGTATTTAAGTGAACACGAAATTGCATTTATAAAATTTTAAACAAAAATATGGTTTTAGACAACATTTGTTACTTTGATCAATAAAATAAATATATCAACCTGTAAAAACAACCTAATGCACAAAAGAGTAAAACGTTATTATTTTTGTTATAAGATTACAGATATATACACACGATATATACACATGATATAACACACTAAGTACAGTAAAAAACCCGTGTATGTTAAGTTTATAATAATTTAATAGATATTTCTCGGATGGATTTTGAGCTCTTTGACCTGACCGTTAGAGTCAGAATATATATTGACATATTGTTTAACGATTTAAATGAGAACAAAATAGAATGTGGAAAGAATCTAATTCAAGATATTGTAGTTTTATTTCTTTATCATGAAAGTCAATAATCACCGAGGTTTGTGTAAAGAAAAGAATTATTACTCATATATTTCGAAAGACTGGTTGCAGATTGTAGACGTTAAACCGCCTTTAATTTTTTTATTTGCCAATAATACGTCATATTTGATGTCTCTTTTATATTGATAACTTTCGAAATGGTACGACATTTCATATTTTCCATGCTAAGGAACTATCTTCACCAGTTCCTTTCCTTAGCTAATGTTAGCCGATTATTCATTAACACAGTATATATAGCTATACCAAATCAATAAGAGGATAATCTCTGATGTAAATTAATGGTTTTGCTCCGTGAAAGGGGCTAAAACTGTTTAATAGATTCTGTGCGATTATGCAGTTTTCCTTTGCAGTTTGCCATGACAAATAAAATTCTGCGAGTACTTAACATACATAATTAATTGAAAAGTAAACCAATTTTGTTTTTTTCAATACAAATGTAATGAAACAGACCTAAAAAAATTATTTGATATGATTATTTTGTTTCCGATTTAAGGAAAAGGAGTTAATAATTTGAATCATTTTGAATGTTAATATATAAGATTCATTATTTCTCACACACTATCAATGCATGGCAGTTTTATTTTAAGTATTATTTTAGAATTCACACAATCGTGGGTTGCATACTATACTTAGGATGGAAATAAGCTTAAGGGAATTTGTATAAAATTTTTTAATATGTTACTGAATGTCACTTAGATGTGAGTATTAATCCAGTATTCTATCTCTCTTACTGAACAATTGCGAATATCTTAGACTAATTTTATGATGAGAAATTTTGTATACCCTTTCCAATGTATAGCAATGTATATGTAGTTCCGATATAAAATTGCTTACTAAAATTGCATTGAGTATCAACCGTGCCTTAGGGCTTTCATCAAATGTATACAACAAATAAGTTTTTAGTTTACAATATTAACTCGTGAGTTGAAGAGAAATTTGTTTTGAAAATAAATAATGCGAATAATTTAATGAGAAATGGAATTAATTTTAACCTCAAAATTAGAATTTCTAATGTACATACAATGGAGATCAAGCACAAAGTGTGTATTGAGGTCTTATTAAAAATTTAAAAATTCACCTACTTTAAGACAGGGTAAGTGTTATATACTTTTGATGCGCAATTCGTATAAGATGTTTAACACTTTAATTAAACAAATAAAAAATTGGTGTCAAGAATTTTCTACAAGCTTTTATTGCAATCAAATTGAAGAAATATTATCTGAAACGATTGAGAATATATGGTATAAATATGTCATAAAACGAAAGTCCATGCTTTTGTACTGTTCTATAAAATTTGTTTGCAAGTCCAGTAAATGTGCTTTTTTCGAGGGTGACCATTTATATTTTGAGTCTAATAACGAAAAAATTCTAACTTGTTGAAGATTGCTTTATTGTTCCTCGAAGTTTTCTTCCCTATGATTAATATAATACACTTTTACATTTATCAAATTTGTCAAATTATTTTTTCCAATCTTCAACAACGACTTCTTCCGCCGACAAAAATCGCTGTCCATGCAATTTATTCTTGACGTTCGGAAACAAGAAGAAGTCTTTTGGTGCCAAATCAGGACTGTACGGAGAATGACCCATTATATTCGATTTTTTGAATGTTCAAATAGTCGGTTGTTAAACGATATGTGTGAGCACGTGCATTGTTTTGATAGAGATAGATAATCATCCGATAGCGGTTATTTGTTTTCCGTATTGTAACGAACCTTTCTGGCCGGGGTGTTGCTCGCCGGATTCAAGGTTCAGTCCTACAATAAATTTATTTGATAGGAACAGTGGAATACGGTGGATGGTGACGTTGGTACGGTGATATGGTTTGAAGAAATGTGAATTTCTTCTCTATACAATGGATTTGACGTAGAAATGTTAATTTCGACGCCCCTGACAAAAGGTTTGAAGAAATGTGAATTTCTTCTTTATACAATGGATTTGGCGTAGAAATGTTAATTTCAGCGCCCCTGACAAAAGGTTTGAAGAAATGTGAATTTCTTCTCTATACAATGGATTTTGGCGTAGAAATGTTAATTTCGACGCCCCTGACAAAAGGTTTGAAGAAATGTGAATTTCTTCTTCATACAATGGATTTGGCGTAGAAATGTTAATTTCAGCGCCCCTGACAAAAGGTTTGAAGAAATGTGAATTTCTTCTATATACAATGGATTTTGGCGTAGAAATGTTAATTTCGACGCCCCTGACAAAAGGTTTGAAGAAATGTGAATTTCTTCTTCATACAATGGATTTGGTATGGGTGATAATGTTCATGGGTTATTATCACCTTACCGAGTGATTTACTAACGAAAATTTGATTTCGTTATGAACAATAGAGTAATAGAAATTTATATTTCTATTACTATTAACGAAATGTTAATTTCGTTATTAATTATGATTTTTAATAGAAATGTGTATTTCTATTAAAAATAAAAAAAATAAAACAAAATAGAAATCGAGATGTAAATTTCGATTCTTGGTGTTTCAGCACATGTAATATAGAGCGACCTGTTCTTAGCTCGCTGTCTTGCTGAATCTCCGTCTACTGCGTTTGCTTCGCCTTTTATACTTGTGATGTGCGAAGCAAGCAGTATCTTTGTTCTTGTGATTTCAACGGTTCGTTGTTTACAAGTTTCTTTCTATTGTTGTTTGTTTTCTTGTTGTTTATTTTGTTTTTATTATATTTGTGTTGTTTGGTATTATTTGTGTAGTAAAATTTAGTTAGTGTAAATTTTATGTTACACTTCCCCGGTTTTTCCA